TCAAACAGCCGAAAAACCGACACTAAGCTTTGCACATCATTGCAATTTATTGCTGTTATTTTGCCCCTTGTCAGCATTCAGAAATAGATTAACCTGGGAAGGGGATCCTCTGAGAGTCACTTACAACAATCACGGGAAAAATCATGCCAAGTACAAAGAGTCCCATCCAGTTGATGCAGCCAACAATCAGGAAGGCTGATGGTCTGTATGACTGGCTGAAGATTTCAACCATCACAGATATGGTGGCTCCAGCTGGAAAAGCAAAGCCAAACACACACCAGGTGTCGCAGACATTTTTCATAGAAATCCTTTCTTTCACATTTGTCCATCTTCTGGGAAGCAGAGCCCCAGAGAGCCCCAGAAGAAGAATGTAAACAATTGTTATCAGCTGCTGTGAAATGTAGCAGGGGTCCCTGTGATTGGCTCATCTTCCATGTGTACCATTAAAGGCCAATCACAGGAGCAGCTCAGGGACAGATTCCCTGGACACAGAACTTTATTATTCATTCCTTCTATTCTATTCTTGGCATAGCTGCTCTCTGCAACTTCTCTTCTTATTGTTTTTAGTATAGTTATAATGTATTATATATCTTATATCAATAAATCAAGCCTTCTGATCAAGGAACAAGATTCTCGTCCTTCTCTCACCACAGTGACCGTCTAAGGTCGCTGTAATAACCAGGTTCATTTGTTTCCTTGCTTCTGCTGCAGCTCCTCCCAGTGGCATGGCAGAGGGGACAGACAGACAGAATAGGTCACCTGTTGGTAGGTGGCCTCTGCTATGAGGGTGAAAGGCCTTGATTCCAGAAATGGAACCCAGCAGTTAATTTAGGTTTCTCTTGTATGTATACTGGAATAGTTTTTCTGGTATCAGTGGGTGTGTGCAGTTCCATATGGCACTGGTGTCACAGACATCTTTTATGAAAAATCTTTTATGAAAAATCTTTTCTTTAAGATTTTTCCTCTTGAGAAGCTGACAGGCCTCAGGAACAAAATGTAAACAATGGTTATCTGCTGCTGTGGAATGCAACAAGTAGACCTTTGATTAACCTATGTGAGTTGTTTCTAATTAATGGCCAATCACAGTGAGCTAGCTCAGACAGAGAGTCCGAAACACAAACCTTTGTTATCATTCTTTCTTTTTCTGTTCTTAGCCAGCCTTCTGAGGAAATCCTTTCTTCTATTCTTTTAGTACAGTTTTAATATATGTATATCATAAAATAATTAATCAGCCTTCTGAAACATGGAGTCAGATCCTCATCTCTTCCCTCATCCTCAGACCCCTGTGATCATGGTCACACCCTGGTAGCTGTTACTGGTGCAGGGTTTATAGAACCAGCCTCTCTTTTGGCTCCTGTGGCCACTTCCACCTGGAGCATGTTGGTAGGCAAAAGCTTGACTTGTTAAGTCACTGAAGATGATCACTATAACATACCTGGCAATGCCTAGAATCCTCTTTTTAGCTGACTAATTTAGAAATTGTTTTGAATTTTCTATCTCACACCCTCTGGAGAAGATGATACTGTTTTAAATTATTTAGATCATGGGATCAGCAATAAAATTTGAGAGGTCTACATCCTTCTCCTGTCTCCCCTTGTATGTGTCTGCCTTTCCCTCTCTTATTTCCGGAACTTTTTAGCAAGGCACTGGCCAGTTCTTCCTCTGCCAACCAATTCAACCCCAAATTTCCTCCCAGCATCAGCACTGATGTACTCACACGGTCCAATTCCAAAGAAGACAACGAACAGGAAGATCAAGATGACACTGAAGTAATGCATCCAGAAAAAGCGATGCTGAAAGTGAGAAACCAGCGAGACCACACCATTACACACAGGACAGAGCAGCAGAGCTCTGTACTCCTGCCACTGGCTGGAGATTTTACACATCTCCTGCAGCTTAGGAGCAGGAAGGGAGGCTGGGGAAGTGGCCAGGAGGCTGCTGCCCCTTTACCTGCAGTGACAGGGTGGTGGTGAGCAGGGCCAGCACAGAGCACATCAGCAGGTACCCGCCCCAGAGCAGCACCTTCCGCCCAAAGCGATCTATGAGGGTGCTCTGCAAAGCAGAACACACAGCTCACCAACCCCAGGCCTCAAAGGAAACCATCCCTCCCCTCTCCATGTGTTCTGTGCTGCAGACTTGTCTCAGTAATAGCCACAAATCAGTGTCATTTGACAGTCTCTTAGTTCCTGATGAATTTGATTAGTTTTTTCAAAACTAATTCATTAATTAAGCTGTGTTTATTAGTCAATCCTAAGCTGTTATTAGACATTTGCATGCTGGCATATGTCAAATTGTCCCCACATATGGACACACATCTAATCCAGAACATCAGAAGATTATTATTTTGCAGAAAAAAGTGAGTCTATAGACACACACTCATGCAAATAATTTTGGGGAAAAACTTTGTATCCTGCCTGTGGTTTTGCAGAAGCAGGAAGATGTGGCTTAGGTTATGCAAAATTTCTCTGAGCCCAGTTATAAGAAAGGAAAGGCACAGTTGTTGGCCACATTAAACTTTTCCTTCAAAGTCAAATCTGAAAAGACTTACACACAGTATGGAGGACAAGCACTCACACAGCCCAACTCCCAGGGACACGTATGGGATCAGGTATTCTTCAAACTTGGCTGTGTGGAACACTTCAAAAGAATAGAAGTAGATCTGAAAAACGCAAAGAGGAAATAAACCTGTGAAAAAAGGTGTTGCACATGAGATACAATTCTAAGCTAGTTTAATAACATTGAGAGGTTTCTTGTGCTGCCTCTCTTGTCCTGGCATGAGGAGAGCACTCAACTGCATTTATGCCACAGAGCTGCAGCGTGGTCATGACAATCAGCAGGATGTAGAGCTGCCAGCGCAGGGATCGCTCTTGCAGCACTTCAAGGACACGCAGGGTTTTGGTGCTCGCCACGGCGCCCTTCTCCTTCATAATGTCATCAATTTCTGCTTGGTGGTCTCCTTCCCCCCAGAGCTTCCTGATGGCTGCAGGGGACAGAGAGGGAAGTGGATTATCCTACCAAGATAACTCCTTCAGCATTTGTGGGGGTTTCAGTCGTTGGTTTTTCTGGGTCTGGATTGAAGGCACTTCAGACAGTAGTTCATGTTGGGACTCAGGTGTTTATTATTTCTTATCAGTAAAACAGTCTCACTGCTGTGAGTTCAGCAGCTTTTCATTAGAAGGTACAAAATGGCCAACAATCTCTTGGTACAAAGTCTTTTAAGACTGAACTATCCAATTAAGAGCTGACACCTGGATTATTTTCCCTTTTAACCCAATAACTGGTCCCACAGAGCTGCAATGGGGACTTTTCTGCCCAATTACAAAATGCCACCCAAACCCAAGAAGAAGAAGGAAGAAGCAGCATGAAGAAGAAACTCTGTGCCCTCCATCTTGCTTCCATCCACAACACACTAAAATTCCCAAACCCTAAATTTCTCACCAAGTGATACCCCTACACTGCTCTCTATAATCTATTTCACACTTTTGTGGATTCCAGTCTGTCTTGAAGTCTGGGAAACTTTCTCCATGAATGAGGGTCAAAGTCAGTGCTCCCCTGCGGGTCAGGGCACCCCAGAGCAGGTACAGAAACGTTCCCTGGGTTTCCACATGCATTAAACCCTTTAGGCTGCCTGTCCATTTGAGTAGGTGCTGGTGCTGCTTCTGCCATCTGGTTGCTGCAGGGGCAGCGAGCAATTTGAAGGATTTTGTCTGTCTGGTTATCAGTATAGCACAGCTTTCTAATGTGGAGTTTACTTAACTGTAAACAAAATAAATATTTTAGTACTTTTTATCAAAAAATACAAAAAAGACAGCTGCCTGAACCATTTCTTTTAAAGAAATAAAGCAGTGCCCAGCAAGGTGGGAAATGTTAGATGTGCTGATATACATCTGTGTTTCTTGTCTTCATGGGCTGAGTGAGGTTGGCACAGACATTGCCAGGGGTACCAGGTTAGCACAGGCATTGCCAGGGGNATTGTTCTGAGACCCCCTTTATCAGATGTGCAGCTCCATGATATCTTACAGATATCCTTCAGTCACATTGTGGAGAGCCTGGTTCAAGCATGGCTCACAGAAAGAGGCCATGAAGGTATTCAGCTAAGGGAAAAAGCAGCCTTTCCCAGGCTTGATCCTGTAAATAATTAAGGTTCTCAGCCACCTTTTATATAAACAGCAAGATTCTCAGACCGTTTCCTCAAAAACAGGCAATATTCTGTCCTTGGTTGCTCTGGGAACAGTTATGAAGGTTTTGAGAACTTTTCATATCATGGTGAGAACACTGATCTTGGTTTCAGTAAACAAACTTCAGGTATGTAAACAAAAGGAGGAGCTGAAGTTTTCTCTACAGCCTATCGGGAGCTCAGGTTTTGCAATATGCATGAAGTGAATGAACACGGTTATAAAAGGTGCCTGGTTGATCAATAAATCGGAGTCGATGCTCATCAATCAGATGGTCATCTCCCTTCACTTCAACATCAGGTTTGTGCTCAGGACAGGAAATCTCACAGCATCAGGTCATTTAGCCATATCCAAAGCTGTGCTAAGCCTTCCTTAGTACAGATCCATATTCTTTGTGTCCAGCTGAGTGAAGTTCACAGATAGATTTTTAAAGTTTATCTGCCTCAATTAGTATTTGAGCCATATCTCACCTGCCAGCTGATGTCTCCGTGCATGCAGTGCTCCTGAATCTCTGTCCCCTTTGTCCCTGTGCCCTCCCATGTGTGTTTGAGCCATTCCTTTGCTGTTTCATCCCTTGACCACTGTCCCCATGACACAGCTCCTGCCCCACTGAGCACAGGCCAAGGCTGCCCTGTGCCCCACAGGGCTGTTCCACTTCAATGGCACTGCAATGTTCCCCAGGGCATGCTTGGCTGCCCAGGGAGCATCCTGGGGGAAGGCTTTCCTGAATGGCACCTAATGAATAACTGAGACACAGAAGTGACTCACTGGTGAGTCTGGCAGCAGTGCCACACTGTGCCACTCTGCTCTTCTTCCCACAGATTTCAGGGGTTGTTGCAATGGAATGGTGTTTCCAGAGTGACTGGTAGAGAAGACAGAATTCTGTTTTGCAAAAAATTGATATTGCTGATCTATATTGGTAGCTGTGACCAGATGACTGGTAGTTTTAATCATATTACCTGTATATGGATCACTACAAAGTTACTGAGTTTTTTGAATTTAAGACACTTCATTTTTGTAGATACATAATTCTATTTATGTAGTTGTATTTAATGACATGGCTGAAGTGTCACTCAGTACTAAAGACAGGAATAATGAAAAACCCCAATTATGGAAGGTTATGCACACCAACAACTTTTCCAAGTCAACTCCCCCTGAGGAGATCATGATGTGGGGAAAGAAATGTTTGTGGAGGCCAGAAGTTTATTACAAGGCAATCTGCCATTTTTATTATGGTTACCATTTGCAATTAAAAATAAGCAGCAGTTTAGATGAACAATTGAATTCTTAGTTTGAATAACCTTGTTTGAGTTGAAGTAAATATGCCAGTGAAAGCAACAGCAGAGGTAAAACCACTTATTTTACTGTGCAAGTCCAGAGTTTGGATTTAAATTGTATTAAGGCTTCACAGTAAGGCTTAGCTTTGTTTATGCTCTTCCTCAGAGTTTTGCTTTGCTCCTACAACCATGTGAGCTTCTCATTAATAGAGAGGAACACACAGAACGTTAGATACCTTCTAAAGAAAAGAAAAGTTCTTTTTCTTTTCTTCATGGGCCTTATGTATTTCAAAAAAAGTGTCTGGTTGAATGCATTCCAGTCTGAGGCAGTTCTTCTGGAGCAAACAGGTTCCAGGTAGGCAAGAGGCACAGGAAGGAAACAGCAGTTCAGCTGCTGTGGGAATTCTGCTCCTGGAGGAGCTGCAGGCTTGGGGTGACAGCAGAGATGGGCAGGGGAGCACAGAGTATCTGAGATGGCTGTGGGGGCTGGGGTTTATGGGGCTGGACTCTCTCCTCAGCCCTTTTAGCTCTGTTGCTGAAATGGTTGGAGCTGTCAAACAAGACACTGCACAAGGACAACATGGCACTGGGCATGGGAACCTGGCAAGGTTTGGTTATTCAGTTGAATCTACAGAAACAAAGAATTTATCTCCTATCCCACTAAATTTTTTTCTTTAATCTCTTATGGATTGAACACTAGCCAGAGATAGCAAGCCAAGAACTTCACTGTTCCCATTTCAGCACTGTAAAAACACTCAGAAATCATAGAGAGAGAGGATCACAGGTCTTTCCTTTCTCTGTGGTCAGCAGAGTGTTTATAAATTCTACATGTGGGCTCTCAGTGTGTATTGGTTGCTCTGTTAAGAAGAGATTTACACATCAGCAAGTTAAGCCAAATGCTCCTGATTCACACAGGTCTGTCCTGGTAATATCAGCTCTTATCAGTTTTCAGAGCTGCCCAGAGTGGAGTGCTTGAGAAAGAAGTTGGTTTGGCAAAATGGGAACCTTGTAAGTGACAGATAGGAAAGCTGACGGTCCATTTGGAGCAACTCGCCAGGCAGAAAATGGCAAATGTCTTTTTTTCCCTACTTTTTTACAAAAACCTGATTCCCCCTCATGTCAGTCAAAGCCTGGTGCAGAAGGTATAATCCTCTGAGACATGATTTGGAGTTGCTGCAATTTTCTTGTTTTTAAAGTTCAGCTTATTGAATTCTTCTGTGATTTCCACGATTGATTTCCCTTTTGTTTCTGGGAGGAACAGGTGGACAATCATCCCTGAAGTGAAAAGTACCACCATAAAGATGAGGAAGCAGAAGTGCTGCAGTCTTTCCTGCAGGGAAGAACAAAGTGAGGAAGAAAGCAAGATTAGCATATCTGTGCTTTAGTCACTTTCTTGGCACATTTTTATATTTGGGTCCCACAATGCCTTTTAGATGTTTCAGATCCTGCATTAGTGCATAACTCTGAACTGGTGCAGTGTTGGTTTGCTCTCCTCACATTTTGGGCAGACAGAACAATCCTTCCAGGCCTGAGAACCATGGTCACCAACACAGCCTCAGGCCCAAAAAGTGTAAACAAAAGGGAATTGGGGTGGAGAAAACCAGGGGAATGTGACTTCATTACCTGAAGCTGTAATTGGACAATTCACCTCTCATAGACTGTCACTGTTATTTCTGAAAAATCCTCTTTGCCCAGGATTTTCTCCTGGCAAGCTGAGAAGCCTCAGAGAGGAATGCAAACAATAATTATCTGATTGCTGCTCCTGTGTTTGCTGCTTTGGGATGTGCCTTGGACATTGTTTACCAACAGGTGAATGTTTGATTGGTTCCATGTGAATTGTTTTAAATTAATGGCCAATCACAGTCAACTGTGTCAGACTCTCTGAGTCAGTCACAGGTTTTTATTATTCATTTTTTGTTAAACCTTCTGATGTATCCTTTTTCTTTCTTTTAGTATAGCTTTAGTATAAAATAATATAATGCAATGCAATGTAATAGAATGTAATGTGATATAATGTAATGTGATAATATAATATAATATAATATAATATAATATAATATAATAGCCTTCTGAGAACATGGAGTCAGATTCTCATCTCTAACCTCGTCCTGGGGACCCTCACAAACACCACAACAGACCAAACTTTAATCAGTTTGTGAATCCTGTGACCATTGCCCACCTTGGGTGTAGCCTCTGTCAGACTTTTGCACTGTCCAAGATGTGTCCTTTAAAATACCTAATTTATTTTTTAGCTCTGTCTAGCCTCTGTTCCAGGTAGTCACTGCAAAGCATGACCCAAAGTATTTTGAATTTGATAAGGAATTCTTTCCATTGACAAATATTTCAGTCTGAATGAGTATCTTGGGCAAATCAGGGCCCTTTGGTTGCAGAAGTGGGCGTGGGAGATGTGAAAAATACCGATTTTATGGTTGGCTTTTAGCAAATATTAAAATGAATATTATATGTGTTGTGTTAGAAAGTGATGCTGTGTTAATTTTCTTAAGTAGTGTGTTAAATATAGTTTGAGG